TATACACTGGTCATCAAATCCTTCCCCACCGTTTTTCTTTTCTTTTTTTTTTCGGGTCACTCTTGTACATATTGTAGCTCATTAAGTTCACTTTTTGCAATCCATCTTTCATATTCAAAAGGCAGGTGGGCATCTCACGTTTCACATGAAAGTAGAAGGAGCTGGTTAGATGTTTTAGAAGTGTTGATAAGGACCATGCAGCAATAAGAGATGGACGTCCACCAACAAGCAGACCACCGTCTCCATTGTGGCTAAATTAATGACCTGCCTCACTGATGAATCACAGGCAGGCAGTGCAGGTTGTAATGTTACCGTATAATAAGGTCAAAGATGTAAATATCCTAATCAAATGACTGTGACGATCATGTTTTTTTTGTGTGTAGCTTCTCTTCCATTTCACTTCTTTTAACAAACGCCTACCCTATCGAATCTTAGTGATATCCTACTACAAACAGGGCTGATAAATGTTTTTTTTTAATAGTTTTTAAATCTCTCACTAAAAAAACGACATCACAATTGGGTTTGAGGTAAATACAAAAGAGTAAGAGCGCTCTGTGTCATTTGCGCTTTTCTTTTTTTAGAATGGGAATTACCCTGTTGATGTGGACACTGAGCCACCACTAAGTCACCGCAGCTTTGGGGAAGTAAGCAGGCGTGTGACAAGAATGAGTAACTCTGAGGTCAAACTGTGCCATATATTTCAAATAGTGTCTCATTCTTCCCCTTTTCTTCATTATCTGCTTCAATGGTTTATAAATCTATGCAGTTTTTCTTGCATTACTACAACTTTATGAGCGTTTTGTTCTAAAGTCAAAAACATGATCGATAACATACGGTTTGAGCGTTTTGTAAGGACTTCTCATCTATTTTTGTTTTTATGTAACAGGATTGAAATAGGTATTGTGCCACTTTATGTTCTTTTAAATGTGCAATAAATTATATTTGAACTGTGTTTTGATAAAGATGTGTGTGCTGGTGTGTGTGGAACCTGACGGCATGCAGTCATTGGTGCATAACAAGTTGGCTCGCAGGTCAAATGCTGAGAAAGTTTAACAAGTCGCTCCAAATAAGATGGCGAAATCTGTTCCGTTGCTAATAGAGCTGATGGTTTTTAAAGCGTAACCAGTAAAGCACAGCATGATGATAAAGAGGAAGCCTACCTTGAGTGATTTAACCTTGCAACCTTGACCTTCAGTTAATAATTTGAGGTTTAAAGCTTTTGACCACCTTGTTCAATTTTTAAAAGTAAGATATTAAAGGTATAATGGAGGATTTGGGCAAATTTTTTGAAAAGACCTGCCTGCTCCACTTTAAAAAAAATGCCCTTGCACAACGCTGTACCTGCTCCTGAGAATTAAAGCCTATTAAACACGTGTGAGAGCATCCATGATCCACTTTCTCCTAATCCACGCCCTGTTTAAAAGTTGCTGTTTGCATCACTCATACAAGTTTACTTTCCAAATGAAGGTTTGCATTTTTTTCTACTATGTCAGACTCACTACTGGTAAGTGAAAATGGCGACGAGCGTCTTATGTAAACATATCAACACAATGATTGACAATTAGGAGGGCCATTTATTGAGATGGTCCACCCAGAAAAAGAATATCCTCCTCTATACCTTTAAGATTATCAAAAATGTATTTAAATATAGGTATGAAAGGATTTTTTTGTTTGTTTTCATGTGGTCAATAGTGATGCTCACCATTAGGATACAGTTTTCACTGGTTTGGGTACCAGAATGCAACTAAACGTCACTTGAAGGAAAAATTATGCTTAAAATATTAAGTCTAAAACTGAGTATTGGGATTTTTGGAGCCAATTAAAAAGATGCATATAAAACATCTAACTTAATGAAACCAATGGAAAGGGAGGGTAGCTCAGTGAATTACTTTGTATGCCTTATAAAAAATCAATTCTGCATAAATTTACCATGGAAATTGACCCTGAATAACAATAAAGGAGGAAAAGACTCGCTGGAATGAAGAGTAAATGTGTTTGAAAGCAGTGAATGTGTTTTATCATAGCACAAGTGACAGAGAAACAAAGTGGGTTACTTTAAACTAATAAAGTACAATATTCTGATCAAATAATCCTTGATTTTGAATTTGAAAATGGATTTAATTGCATGTAGATAAACACCTGCAGAGCTTATTTAAGATTTTTGTACCATGTTAAGTTTGTTTAGGCTGTTTGATAATGGCCGGTGGAGCAGAGTTAGATTACATTTCTGTAGATGTCAAACATACCTGCTTATACAGCTAAAAACAAAGGAACCAAGTGTTTCCAGCAGTGATGAGGCAGGCTGTGTTTGTTTATTCATTTGACTGGGAGCATGCTCACTAACATTCATCTGATTATTATACAGCACTGTGTTGAGTCATTGTCTAATATTTAGCGAGAGCAGTCAAAATATCACTACTTAGACAACCAACATAAACCAAAACTCATAGTATGATTTAAATGTTAGTTAAGTTAAACTTAAACAGTTTAAATATAAATAAAGAATGCTAGACCCAAAGCAAATGGCTTTTTCCTCAACTACATGGAATTATGTGCACTTTTAGGAGGAAATTATTTCACATTGTTTTGATCACCTTATAAATCCAGAGGTTATTTTTATTAGTTAGTATTAAAAAAAACATTTTGATCAGCTGGATGAAGGCTTGTTGCGTTTTATTTTGCTGATTTGTTTTCAGGGCTACCTTCTTAAATGCATTTTAATGACAATAAGTGACAAATTAATACTTTATCATCCATGTTAACGTTTTTGTTCATTTGAATATAAACACCACTTTGCAGCAAACAAGGCAAGATCATGAGGTTAAATGTGGTCTGAAAGGTCCTCCTTTGTTTTAAAGGTGAGCATAACTGCTTCCTAGAAAACCACCCGTAATCTAATGCTTTAATGAAGTTATTAAAAGCTAACTATTTAGTAAGTTAAATAGTTAACTATTTAACTTACTATTTATGTTGGCACAACATTTTTTTTTTTTACTAATTTCTCATAATGTAGAAGCAGTATGAGAAATTTTTTTCTTTTTTTTTTTAAACCATATTAGGGCAAGTGACTGTTTTTGGTAAATACATTGACCCTGATTTTTTTGCCATCAAACTACTTCTGTTTAAAATGTTACAAAAGTAATAATGTCTTGTTGTTAATAACACTATTCACTTGAAATTTAGAATTTCAAGACATGTCTCTGATTTCCATATTAATGCTCAGCCCCTGTTTAAGTGAGAGCAGCTTTGTCCACATGGGGGCAGTATTTGTCAGTAGTAAAGACCCTTCCCTACTCAAGCAGAACCAGCTTGTGACCCACCTGCTAGATGGACTGCAAATGTTTTTTGAATGAAAACCTATTTGTGGGATTGTGATTCTATATGTGAGACAAAAAGTAAGAGATCAACAGAACATCGTAGAACAAAAGTAAAAGATCACATATGACTTTCTGATTATAGCTTTAATCAGCTGGCATATTTGTCCAACTAACCATTTCCATTAATGAATAGCTGCTATTTTGCTTTTCCCCCATTCTGCTACAGTTAAAATCAAATCATTGCTGAAATGCCTCATTTCTAACAGTTCAGTTACTCTATGGGTGTTTATAAAGCACCTGAGCCAAAAAGATTTACAGCTGATAACTTTTTTCCTCATCCCTTTGCATGTGTATATTTTGCTTTTCTCAGTTGTGCATGTCTGTATCCATAAATGCAAAATGCATGCAGTATATGTGAGTGCGCTTTTTTTCCCCATCTGCTGACCTGCACTGAGAGTCATTTATCTCAGTTATGCAGAAACTGTCAGAGCTCCATCTGTGAAAAGAGTAAACACACTGACTCACACTTTTTAAGTGACAACCACTGATACCAGACAAGAGAGCATGGCGGAATACACTGACTACACACTCACCCGCATGCAGAGAGCTACGGTTTCTGTTTGTTTTCATCTCATTAGAGTGACAGAAGCATGGCAACCCCAGAGGGAAGATGGATAATAGTCATGTTTTGTCATGTTCTTTTTTTTCTGTCTCTGCTAATGCTCCAGGTTGCTAAAATGAATCAAAATGAGTCTGTTGATCATAGAACCTCATGAAGATATCAGACCTTCTGGCTGCTTGGGTTTGCTTCAATATGCTAAAGCTATATATATATATAAAAAAAATAATACTGGGTAAAACCTACCTTTCTACCTATTTGCTACCTAAAGTTGCAAAAAAATGTCTTGTTGCTCTTTTTATAGATTTTAAAATATTCCATATTCCTAAAACCTTTTGCAATTAGTTTTTTATTACATTTTGTCCATCTGTCTGCTAGCTGATATTAGTTAATACTTTAATACTAACATCTTTTTTAATGCTTTTTTAAATGCTTTTTTTGTACCACTTTGAGGCCTTTTTGGTGAAAAGTGCAGTATAAATTAACTTAATTATTATTATTATTATTATTATTATTATTATTATTATTATTATTATTATTATTATTATTATTATTATATTGTTATTTTAATTTATAACACTAGAAGTATTTTTGACCAAA